CGGAAAGGCCTAGAAGGCCTGGGAAATCCCACGCTGCTCGGCCTGTGTTTTCCTCCAACCAACTGGCGCGACGAAACTGCCTGGACCCCAAATACGAAATTGACAGCCAAGGGCCTCTCGTAATTTGTTAGGCCCGCCTTCACTTAGGGCGGGCACATTTGCTGCAGGGGCCCCTTAGGCCTGCCGAGGACCCAGATCCTCGCAATTAAAGTACTGAAGTAACTAAATAGTAAATTTGTATGACTAAATAGTACTGAAATCAGAATTTAATAAAATTTAATTTCCATATTCTTAACAACCAATCTACTGAAGCAACTTAATAGTAAATTACTAAATTTGTATGACTCCCATTTTTTTTTCTTCTTTCTTTTTTGTAATCTCTTCAATTCTCAGGTTCTGAAGAACCAAACAAAAAGTGAAAGGAGAAGAATGAAAGCACTTTGGCCATCTCCAGACCACAACTGTCCACTACCAACTGAGGGCCATGGCTCAGTTGGTACACCCATGAACTGTTGAAATACAGACCTGAGTTCGTATCCGGATGGGATATTTCTGAATTATCTGGGGCCAGTTAGTTGGGCGAAGATATCTGAAGGCCGTTGCCTTTTTTTTTTACTTGTAAAAAGGGAAAAAAAGAGCAAATCATAACTGTCCACTGAACCCTTCGTGTAGATGGCATACTTTTCTTTTGCCAGGCCTCCAGATTACAGATGCGAGGGTTTACCCCTCGGCATAAGGCCCTACAGCAGGCACGTGCCCGCGCGCCCCCCCCCCCGAATCTCAATGTGCCCTGAACTCGTCAATTTTTGCAAATCTTGGTGGGCGCCAGACAGTTGCCACGCGCCAGTTGGTTACATCCGCTTTGCTCGTGAGAATCGGAAATATGCGAGAGCCTTCCAGGCTCTTCCAGCAACATGGTCGATACAGGGACCACCACACATTTGTGCCTGGGTGGTTGGGCATGCCTAACCATTTCGGTCCCAGGCCACTGTCTGAATGGGCCTGGGCGCAGACACTTTGGCTGAGACTGAAGCTACTGGAAACTCCGCCTCATGGGCCAAGCGGGTGGTGATTCGCCTGCCACTTTCCATATAGGAAAGGGCCGAGTTCCGAGGTCGGAAATCAGGCACTTGCACTTGCGGGCGGCAGCGCTGCTGGAGCGTAGACGCGCGGGCTGCTTGCTAAGCTAGCGCTAGGTGCGGGCGTCGAGAGGGTACAGGGCGCTGCTGAGGGCAGCGCCATAGCCCGGCCTTCATACCCAGGCTGGGGCTTGGACTCAGTCAGCGGGTGGTGGTGGTCTTCGTGCATGAGGGTGAAGATGTGGGTGAGGAAGTCGAGGGTGAGAGAGAGAGAGAGAAAGAGAGAGAGAGAGAGAGAGAGAGAGAGAGAGAG